TTGAATACCAATAGGTCCTTGAAGTAGCCTAGGGACCTACTGGTGTTTCCCATCCATAATGCTAGTGACATGTGATTAAGCCCCAAGCACTTTTGTGTAAATACAGTTTTAATCCCTGATCAGATCAAGCATCCATATTAAAGGACTTCAGAATCTAACACCAGATCTGAGTTTAACTGAAGGGTCATTCCTACATTAATTAAAGAGTTTAAAAAAGTCAAGAGTCACTACAGTTTTATTACACATAATAAGTATTAACCCCACATAAATCTTTAAATGATAAATCCTAGGGAACAAGCTTTTCAATATTGGTATAATATTCAAAATTAGGTAGTACAAACATTTCAAATAAGTAATAAAAAGAATATTGTCATATTTACACAGCATTGACATGATTAGAGTAGTTTTTGTTAATATTAGTAACATGTATGCTTATGTGTGTGTGCATACTTAATGAAGGCCATGCTTTGTTTATAATCAACATTTAATAAATACTAGCTTTTAAAGTAAATGACCTCTCTGAAAGATTTTATTAGAATAATTATATATAATGGATATACACTTCTTCATATAGTTAAAATTTTTTACTGGATCAAATAGTCTTTTTAAACAAAAATGTTTTTAAATTTCAGAGAGAGGAAGGGAGAGGGAGAAAGATAGAAACATTAGTGATGAGAGAGAATCATCAGTAGGCTGCCTCCTGCACTCCCTCTACTAGGGATCAAGCCCACAACCCTGCCCCAAGGGGGAATCGAACAGTGACCTCCTGGTTCACAGGTCAAAGCTCAACCACTGAGCCACACAGGCCAGGCTCAAATAGACTTTTTTCTCAGTTACTGAGAGTTGGTAAGATTTAACTCTATGAATGAAAAATATGATTTATTTCTTCCATTCCAGTTTACATAAATATCTGGTATCTGAGCCCTAGGCTACAAAAAATACAACTGGCCATCTCTCACACATAGCCCGAGAGAGGATTCATTTGCTATTAGAAGTGAAAAAGTCCAAGAAAGCTGAATCTTAAAATCTAAATTGTACCATCTGATGACTTTTTAAAACACTTTTATTTAAATGACTCACGCATTTTCTCTGAGCAGATCAATATTTTTAAGGTACTTCCCAAGTCTTTTTTCTTTTCCCTTTCTCTTTCTCTGTTTAAGCAAGTATCATAATCCTATTCTAAGTATCTTTTTAATATTGCTACCTCTGAAAAAAATTCACATTTTGGTGTGAACCGTGAGATTTGCATAAAGCCTGGTCCAGATACCAGCCCCTGTTGGCAGAGAGTATAAATAATCGTACCAGGAGATCAGACCCTAAACAGATGCTGGGTTACAGTTCTGGTTGGATCCCTGTAGTGAATCCTTTCTGAACAAACTTTGATAGATGGCCATTTTGACAACAATATTTTCATAGTGGTCAACCTTGAACTTCTGTATTTTCCGTTTTCAGGAGTACTCCGTGAAAGTAAGTAATGTCCCCACAATAAGGAAATTCCTTGAACCTGGCAGCAAGAAGAAGCCACCTCCCGATGAGATCTACGTGAGAACCGTCTACAACGTCTTTATGCCATAAATCAACACCGATGTTTGTGAGTGAGAACTGGCCCCTAGAGATCACTGTGTCCACACTAGTATCTTAGTTGATGTCAGGCTGCCTGATCCCCGCTCTGTCGTGGTGCTCTGTATAATTGTTCCTAAGTTGGGTCTTTTATGTCAAAGAGATCTCTTGTAGAAACACGGACATGTTTGTGTCCAGTGGATAATTGTTATGGGTCCTTTTTCTGAAAACCTTTGTGGAGAGGCTGACACTTATGTTAGATTTGATCCGAACTCATTTCCTGATAACAGGGTTGGGCAGGAGCTCAAGTTCTTCCCGGAGCTTCTTTTCACCTCTCCTTACCCCATTCTAAACCCCGTCTGGTCTCTTCCCAAGTTTTAGTGTTTAATAACAACAGAATATCTAGTGAGTATCTCTCTCTGAGCTATTATAAATCCATAGTAGTGATGAGTGCAGTCAATATTAGCCAAAATAAAGAATTTACAAATCATTGTCCTATTGCTAGAATTTTTAAATTAAATTATTTGGAATCTACAATTACATGGTTCAAAAAGGTATAAAAGGCCATACAGTTGGAAGTATTCTTTTCAGCCTTGCCCCCAGCTACCTGGTTCTCCCCACAAGCAAACATAGTTATCATTTATATATCTTTCCAGTTATATTTTATATCTGTGTTAGAAAACATAAATGGTTGTCACATTTGTCTTATTACTCAAATGTTCATTTGTAGGCTTGAACTCTTTTGCATTTCAGACTAACAGGATAGTTTATTCATGCTGCTTTAAACATGTGTTGATTTTATATTAAATGAGCACCTATTATGTGCCAAGCAGGGTTCCAGGAGGCAGAACCCTAGAACAGAGCCCCTGCTCTAGGAAGATGTACCACACAGTGGGGGAGGTCGATGTGTAAACAGCAGAAGTAATTTGGGAAAAGGAAGGAATGATGGTTCTGGACTAATACTCAGAAATTTAAAAACTAAGGAAAAGCACGTTTTTTATGAGGGTTTATAGCGGGGACACATTCATCCCTTACTGCAGGAGGGGTTTTTGCTTGGATTAAAAAAAAAATATATAGCCATGAGGTGATCATTAATGCCTATCACACCCATAGCAAGGGCCTTGGTGTTTTATTGGAGGAAAATCAAGTGTAGACACCAGGTAGTTGTTTGTGTTCACGCTTTCACAGTATGAGCACTCTGTTGCCACACTAATATTTAGAATTTCTGGATGAGCAAGGGCTTGGTGACACGTGTAGCTCTGGACCAGGCCCCAGGAGCAGTGGTGGCCAGTCTACTGCTCCTGAGGGAGACACCCAGGCTCCGGCTGGGATCCCGAGAGCAGGAGCCAAGGAAAAGAAGAAAGCGAGGGAGTGTGTAGGGAAAAGACTCACCCTTCCCAAAGGCCCGACCAAACACAAGTCTGACCTCTGCCTCTGGGAGGTGACCTCTAAGCCCCTGGAATGTCATGCCTGATAGGAGTGTCTTTGTTTGCCTGGCGGCCTTACGCCAGCCAGATAGTAACTAACAGTGTGATTTGAGCCACAGCAATAATGCCATGGAGGGTGGGGGTTTTGGGTCTTGTGGTGTCAGCTCAACTATGGAGGAGCTGGAGTCGGATCAACCACATGGGCAGTCAATTATGCCCATGTGATGGAGCCCCAATAAAAATTCGGGACTCAAAACTTGGGTGGGCTTACTGGTTGACAATACTGCATGTTCCACATGGTTGCCAGGAGGAGTTCATGTGTCCACGGCTCCACAGAGAGGACGTCTGGAAGCTCAAGTTTGGACCCCCCTGGACCCCGTCCCATGCATCTCTTCCCCTGGCTGGTTTCCATCTGTATCCTCTCTCTGTAATAAACCGTAGCCGTGAGTATAACAGCTTTCCCTGAGTTCTGTGAGTTCTTTGAGCGGCTCGACGAACCTCAGGGTGTTTTTTGGGGCACCCCCTTGAACTTGCAGTTGGTGTCAGAGTGAGGGTGGGCTTTTGGCCTGCTCCTTCTAACCTCTTCTGGGAAGAGAAACTTTTACACTCATTTGAAGACTAATTCACACCATGGAACCAGACATGGACACCATAGCACCCAGTTGTGTAGGATGGCAGCAAACTTGGACTATTGTATACCATTTTGATGTGATTTTACTCTCCAGTGCCACTGCCTGACAATATAAATCAAGGGTTTGCTGTATAGACCTTAGGCCATTTTGTAAACATTGTTCTTTGGATTTTAATTCTCGTAGCCACCAGGGGGCCCTCAATGCCGGCTCTCTGAGGAAATGGCCAGGAGGAAGTTTGGCTTCTGCACTGAAGTAGAGGATTACAGAAAGTAAACACAGGAGGCCCGGCTGTTTCCGATGAGGACAGAGCCCCATGTCTTTCCTGCTCATGGTTACATGACCTTAAATTATGCAATTCGGTTGCCATATTGCCAATAAGTTCCTCCCTCCCCCATCCTCAGGTCAGGTGAACCAGTGAGGTTAAAGGGCACAGCCACGTATAGAGCCTGGTGTCTGGGACAAAAGGGGAAAGCTGATGGTGTGAGGCTCTGGTGTGTGTGACAGAGGAGGCGGTGCAACAGGTAAGGAGCCTGGGACCCAGCATTAGCCACTCAGAGAGGCTTTGGCAGACTGGGTGCCGCGAGGAACACCTGATCTCCTCCTGCTGCCTGGCTGGGGCTGTCGGTAGGGGCCAGCCTCCTGGGGAACCCCACAGAGCAGAAAGTGAGTTCCACCGGGAAGGGTCTGCTACAAACAACCAGTGTGGGCTCTTGTATTTGCTGGTGTTCCCTCTTCATCGAATGTGCCCAGGAGAGTGAGGGCGGGTTTCTTCTTGTCCTATCAGGGCACAGGTCCCCCCCTAAGGGAGTCCCTCAGACCAGGAGGCCTGTAGCACTCCCCGAACACCCAGGTGCCTCTTTCTCCTCAATTTGTTTTCTTCAGAGCACTTGGCATCCTCTGGCATTTTGTCTGTTTAATCAGTCTCTGTCTTTATACTTAAGGTGGGTTTGTTGTAGAAATTATAATTGGGTCTTGTTTCAGTCTACCCGTAGTCTCTGTGCTTTAATTGATGTATTTAAGGCCACATTTAAAATCCTTATTGCTGTGGCTGAATTAATCTGTACCATGTTTGTAACTGTTTTCTCTTTGTTTCCCTTGTTCTTTGTTGTTTTTTTTTCTTTTGTCTTCCCCTCCTTTTCTGCATTCTTTGGTTTTAATTGAGCATTTATATGGTTCCATTTTTTTCTCAGCATGTCAATTATACCTCATTTTTAAAAAAAATATATTTTTCTTGATTTCAGAGAGGGAGGGAGAGGGAGATAGAAACATTAATGCACACCCCCTACCGGGGATTGAGCCTGCAACTTGGGCATGTGCCCTTGACCAGAATCAAACCCGGGCCAACACTCTATCCACTGAGCCAAACCAGCTAGGGCTATATCTCATTTTTTTTAAGTTTAATTTGTTGCCCTAGAGTTTGCAATATATATTTAAGCTACACTAAGGCCACTTTCAAATGGTAGTGCAGGTACCTTATAACAGTTTTCCCAATTCCTCCCTCCTGTCCCTTATAACATTGCTGTCATAGATTTCATTTGCCCATAAGCTGTAATCATCTGATATATGGTTGCTGTTGTTATTTGAACACACTGCATTTATTTGTCTATATATTTATACTGTCCGTCTTCCCCAACTAGAATGGAAACACCACAGGAGTAGGAATTGGGCCTGTCATGGCCACCATTCTAGAGTCAGGGCCAAAACAGGGTCTCAGTGTTGAGTGAGCCAGTGGAGTCTTCCTTCTTCCTTGGGTAACTTGGTGCGCTGTCAGATACACTGACAATGGATGTAAAGTGAAGCCCCGGGGGCGTGTGCGAACTGGAATACTCACTGGCTAATCCTTTGAGTGGGCGGAGCTTGCAACTGGACAGATAAGGGTTATAAACCTTCACTTCGTCCCCCACCACACCAGAGACAAGAGCCAGGAAGTGATAAGGTTAGTGGTTAAATTTTTATACTCTTCTTGGGCTTGGTTGGATAGTTACATTTTGCGGCCAAATATGCAGCTTATAGTCAGCAATTGTTTTAATTTTGTGGTTAATTGAATGCCTATATTTCTAAACTTGCCTATATCAAATGAAAGGAACAGATATTTTTTTCCCTGCAGAGTAGATACGTAAATGAACACGGTATGGCAAGTTACAGCTGGGCCTTTTGAAGACTTTCACTGCCTATGCCTGATCACATGGTACCAGACATGAACATTCCCCCACATCCATGTCACACATTACATGTGAGAGGACAGTGGTACTTCAGTTGATTGGTGGACATAGCAGACTTAACAGAACATAAACATGTATTACTCTTTGAGCCGTTACATTTCTCCCTCTTAGGCAAATCTCATATTTTTTACATAGTTGAAAAAACAGAGATGCCACCTGCTCTGTGCCAGGGTGCTAACCGGTAAACTAGTCTCCTGCCTCTAGGTGTCTACTCCACTATGCTTGGAAGATTTCTTCCAAATAATCTGCCCCTGGGGTCTTCCTCTGGGGTCCTGCATGCCTGGGGAACTGCAAGTTGAAAAGCAGGAATCTGAGTCAAGCCCTGACACCATTTTTTTTTTTTTTCCTAAGACTTTAAACAGCTTCGGGCCATGTGGCAGTTCACCTGGCTTATTCTCTAAGCAGCCTTGGTGACCTAGGTAAATGCAAGTCTCTTTCTTGGCTGTATCTTTCCTATAAGTAAGTTTGTAAGTCTTGGGGGTATAAGCCAACCTTTTGTGAGTTTTGCGATGTGAATCAACCCATTAGATACCCTCATGGAAAGGAAACTAAGGTTCTGAAACTGAAATACAAAGCTCTCTGGAGAAGATGCTTATTAGCATGTGAGGTTGGCCTAGAGCTCCCTCCTGATCGTCCTATTCCATCAGCAACCCACTCCCTCTCCACCTAGGAATATTGTTCAGGTGGGTTTGTGTATTAAAAATGCTGTATAAATACTTGAGCTCTTTTTCAAAGTCTCATGTAGGAGACTTTCCCTTTGGTAAAATCCAAATACTGAATATGTCATATCTTACTAATGACGTGCTTTGCTATTGTTATGTATTAGCAAAATAGAAGAGAAATAATTCATAATCGAGTAAAAACAGACAAATTTTAAAGCTATACTGAAAGTCTTGGTTGTGCTCTGAAGCAGTATATACTTAAAGCTAAAATGAGCTACTTCTTTCCAAACTAGCAAAGTACAGTTCTGTGGGGAATACAGGGTTACCTGGGAGAGTTTTCTGTCTCCGTGATAACTTTTGATCTGCTAGTTATAATGCAGATAGGCCATTCTGATCCATTGGAGAAGCCAGAGTAAATGTCATGGCTATTTCTATGGGTAATAGATTTAGAATTGACATCTTGTATTCTGACCCAAAACATTTGCTAAAACTGGAAACCTTTTCAATGAACCCCTTAAATTTTTTATGATCCAGAAAAGTCAATAAAAGCCTGCTTTTTGCCTACCTGTTCAAATAAGTGAGAAAAATGTGTGTTGTTTTGCCTAAATCATCCAGAGTGACTGTTAAACATTGTCAGTTCACTAGAATTTCACCCCCAAAAGATTGGCTGCTTTCCCGACACATGCATTCAGCAGATAGGAGCATAGACCAAAGAATGAAGATGAGGGAAGAGAAGCAATATCAGAAGGATTGTTAAAACTAGAAGAAATGGAGGAAATTGTCTAATTCTGACCAACTCTTCATTGTATAGTTGAGGACTGACATTTCTTCCAGACATGCCCAGGGCTGGAACCTACATATCTGGTACTTTGTTAACATTGGGAATTGAAGAAGGCCTCACTCATTTCCTAGAAATTCCTCTTAAAAATATCCTTTAAAATAAAATTCCAGTGACTGAACAGCAGAATGACCGGTCAACCAGTCTCTATGATGTGCACTGACCACCAGGGGACAGACGCTCAATGCAGGAGCTGCCCCCTGGTAGTCAGTGGGCTCCCACAGTGGGAGCACCGCTCTACTGACCAGGATGAGCAGCGCTCCCACAGCGGGCCGATCCCTGCATGCCATGGCCCTACCAGTGCACGAATCCCATGCACCAGGCCTCCAGAGAGGAAGGGAAGGGAAGGGAAGAGAGAGATAGAAACATCAATGATGAGAGAGAATCATTGATCAGCTGCCTCCTGCATGACCCCTACTGGGGTTTGAGCCCACAATCCAGGCATGTGCCCTGGCTGGGAATCGGACCGTGACCTCCTGGTTCATAGTGCCATGCTCAACCACTGAGCCACACCAGCCGAGTGGAATTCCTCTCATAGAGGGGAGTCAATACAAATGATCTCACATGGGAAATTTACTTACAATTCTCCCCAGTTCCCTCTGCCCTTCTCTCTCTCTATTCTGAGCCACCCACAACTCCAGCACATCACCCTTTGCTCTGCCTACCTTTTAAACGCCATGCTCTGCAATTGTGCCTGCCCAGCAGTTCCTGGGAAGAATGACCCAGAGCCTCACACTGAGCCCCAGGTGCAGGTTAGTTGGGTTTTCATTCTAGACTCGGCTTCTCGAACTTTATTTAAATATACAAGTGAATCACCTGGGCACGTTTTGAAAAATGCAGACTCTGATTCACAGATTGGGCCCAGGGACTGTGCTTCTGCATTTCTAACACGCTTCCGGGCGAAGCTGATGCTGCTGGTCCAACACACCAGCAGAGAACGCTGCCCCTCCTTTTGGAAGCACACTTGAATGCCGCTGCGGTGTGGAGATACAGGTGTGTGTGTGTGTGCACGCGCACCATTTATTGAGTCCTTACTATGTTCATCAGTTTGTACACATTATCTTATGTTCACCTCATAATTAATCAAATGAATTAAGAGCTATTAGCTCTGCTGTACAAATGAGGAAACTGAGGCTCAGAGAGGTTAAAAACCTTGCTCCAGCGAGAGGTAGAGCTGAAACATGTTTTTACTGTGGATACCCAGCACTCACAGTAAAATAGATACATGTTCCATTTTCTAAAATATTGGGGGCATATTTATTATCCAAGGACCACACTCTGACTCTCCAAAGGTTGTCATGCCATCGTGGCTGCTTTCTGCTGACCCTCCTGAGGCGTGGGTCCCTGGGACTCTGGGTGGGGAAACGCACCCCACTCTCATCTCAGGTGAAGCTGCACACAGGTGAAGTCTGTGAGCCCCCGCAGGTGAGGCTCAGTTCCCAGTGTCATCCGACCTCCGTGGGAAGCCTTCCAGGTTTGCTGAGTTCAGGGCACACCTTTTGGTCAACATCAGTAGCACAATCATGAGCTTTGAAGAGATGGGAATAAGTTTATACTCAGCTCAATGCCTTGGGTTCCGGGTCTTCCAGCAGCTTTTGCTCAGAGTGCTTGCATCTTGGGTAAAATCCAGAAAGCGCTGCTCCTTTGTTCCCCACCTCTTCATTTCCCACGGCTGGCCGGTCCCACGGCTGGCCGGAATGAAAGCTTCCGTTGCACCTGTTCTTTTAAGCTTTGATGATGTACTTTTTTTCTTTTTTAACAATGAGAATAATTGGGTTTTCTATTTGAAGGGTAAACAAACCCAGTGTCCGTATTACCAAGCTGTAATTTACCCTAATCTTTGTTGACATTCCTTAGAGGTCAAGGATAGAGGACTAAAGGACTTGGTTTTGTCCTTAACCTATAATGCCATGGGGCAGGGAGCAGTAGGGCTGAGAAACAACATATAGACAGGGAGGGGCAAAAGTAGGTTTACAGTTGTGAGTAAGTAAAACAGATTTCCTCCTGCTTTTGTTAAACACCTATTTCCTTCTGACTTACCTCTTGTTAGTCTGGATGTTTCCATCACTAGAGATAGGTAAGGTTTTTGATGGCAGGAACTACATGTTATTTATCTTTGTATGCCTGGAGTGCCTAACTTACTACTATATCCATAGTAGGAGTTCACTAAATGTTTGATGCTGAGAGAATAAAAGATGGAACACAGAAATTTAACACGTTAAGGAACTGGTATGTATCTCAAAGTGGCACATTGAGGTTACAGCTGCCACATGTCTGGACTGGTTCTATAAGAGATGGAAGAACTACACCGTCACCCCTGCCTTCCAGATGTTTCCCTTGTGAGAACTTTTTTAAAAATTTATTTTATTGATTTTTTTACAGAGAGGAAGGGAGAGGGATAGAGAGTTAGAAACATCGATGAGAGAGAAACATCGATCAGCTGCCTCCTGCGCACCCCCCACTGGGGATGTGCCCGCAACCAAGGTACATGCCCTTGACCGGAATCGAACCTAGGACTCTTCAGTCCACAGGCCGACGCTCTAGCCACTGAGTCAAACTGGTCATGGCCCTCATGAGAATTTTGCAGTGAAGAGTTCGGCTGGTTCCTGGGGTGGGAGCTCATAAGAGGTATTGGGCCCCTTCTCGGTGCTCAGCCCTTCTAGAAGGAACAGCCCTTCCTGGGAGGGGTTGGGCATGGGGACTGAAGTCCTGCTGCGCCCCTTAAAAAGTCATCCCATTTAGAAGGCCACCGAGCCAGCCGAAGCTGAGAGATGAGGAATGGTGGCTGATTGGCCAGACTCAGCTGTGATTTATTTATGGGGCACATCAACATTTGCTGGGACTTTTCCAAGAAGCGGTAGCTGGTTATTAACAACTAGAGAAAAAAAGTTTCCTTCTCTTGGACTAGAAGGGGGGGTTGCTGGGTTTAGTCCTGTTTATCTGAGATGGGGTCTCCTTCATTCTGATCCTGGGCTTTTAGGGCTCCCTCGGCACCACTTAAGCCTTGGAGGTGATGGCAGGGAGGGGAGTGATTCTGTCCCTTGTAATTCAGCTCTGGGTCTTCCAGTTACATCCTTCCATCTCCCATGTGCCCGGAGAATGTGCAAGGGGCCAGCCGAAGTGAAGTGGGGGAAGCTGTGAGCACAAAGTCTGCACATAAAATACAAAATACACTTCCTTGTAAGAGTGAACCATGAAAATGCTCTGTTCACAAAATAAAGGCAGAAGCCACCCCAGATTTTACTTGTTGAATATCTTGTATTACAATATGGAGTCAGATTCACAAAAAGTTTTAGCTCCCTTTTGCAAATATCAATTGCATTTGCAACAAACACTTATGAATCCCCTATAAAACTAATAGGCAAACCTATCTTAGCATAAAAAACTCAAAGAATTGCTAACCCCACTGGCAATTTGCTTCAAGAAGCGAGGACTTCACTTGATATGGGTCAGATATTGTCTGTATTTCATCTATCACTTTAACTCAATCCTCACAACCACGACCCCATTTTAAGGATTAGGAGACTGAGGCTTGGGGAGGTGGACTAAGGTTGTACAATGGTGAGGACCACAGTAGGTGCCGCCTGGGGAGCTGAGGTCAGCCTCTCCATCCATGTGCTCGCCATCGGCTTCCTGAGAACCCTCCCACCCACAGAGCCTTGGGCACTGTGCCAGTGGGAAGTATTCTTGCTGTTTCCTTAAAGCATATGGGGTTCGAGGGGCAAATGGGGTAAAGGAGACCCAACAATCCTCTAAGTTGATAAAGAGCTTTGGTTTATTCAAAACACTTTACCTTTATCTCATTTGGTCACCCCAATAATCCTGTGACATGCACAGGGGTCACTAACCTAATACTTCCTGTGGTTCTACGACAGAAAGGACTGTCAGGTCTGCTTGCATGATCATGCTACTCTCCTAGTATAATTTTTCTCAATTACAGACGAGGACACGAAGGCAGACCAAGGTTTAAGGAACTGATCCTGAGCTTACCCAGCTCCTTGCTGGCCAGGTAAGGACTTGAATCCTGGTCCTGTGTAGGTCTGTGTCTATGCTTGTCCCAGACTCAGGAAAGTCTTTGGCAGAAATGAGAGTCCCCAAGTTCCACCGAACATTTCAATCCAAACAAGCCCAGCCCCTTGCCGCTGTTAGGAAAGATTATATTTTGTAAGATCATTAATGAAACCGTCATATTAACTCCTGCTTCCTTTTCTCAAAATACCAGAGGCAGTCTCTCAAATCTACAGAAAACCTTGATATGTATAATCTGTTCTTTTTCCTTAAATTGTGAGATAGAGCATACCTGCATATAGGAGGTTGCAAAAACATTTATGTGCAGTTTATTTTTTTATTTTTAAAAATATTTTTATTGATTTTAGAGAGGAAGGGAGAGAGATAGATAGATAGAAACATCAATGATGAGAGAGAATCACTGATCGGCTGCCTCCTGCACGCCTCCCACGGGGGATTGAGCCTGCAACCCAGGCAGGCACCCTTGACTGGAATCGAACCCAGCAATCTTCGGTCTACAGGCTGATGCTCTATCCACTGATCCAAACCGGCTAGGGCTATATGCAGTTTAAAGATAAATTATAAAGGCTAATTACTAATTCTGTTTTAACACTTGGAGTGCGGAAACGAGTTAAGTCGGCTCGCGTGAATTGCGCGTACTCCGCGGGAGCCGTCTTTAACTCGGTTCATATAGATTTGCGGTGGAGTGCGGGAAACGCAAATATTTGTTTGTAATCCACCCTTTTGGTGGATGGAACAAAACCAAAAGACAGAGCCATCTTATATTTTGGCGGGAAATTCACCCGCACTCCAAGTGTTAAGAAATAGAACATTATTAGCACCCCAGGATGCCTCAAGCTCCTCCAATCATAACCTGCATTCTCCCACTAGAGGTGACCATCCTGCTGCTGGGGTCATTATTTTCTGGCTTTTCTTCATAGTTTTACCTACTATGTACCAGTCTGCATCCCTGGACAACAGCTTCGTTTGCCTGTCTTGGAATTGTTACAAACAGATACACTCCATATGGTGTGTGTTCGTTTGCTCGTTAAACATCTTATTTGGCCCTTTAGGAAACCCTGAGCCGAGCGTCATGGCAGCCAAACCCAAGCTCTGGTACTTTCCTGGCCGGGGCAGGATGGAGTCGATCCGCTGGCTGCTGGCTGCAGCTGGCGTGGAGGTTGGTTCCTGACTGGGAAAAGGAAGGAGGGCAGTTGGGGTGAGACTGAAGTGAGCTTCTTCCCTCTTCAAAATTCAGGATGGTGCCTCCCAGCCACACTGGCTCTTTCTCTTTCCAGCTGTCTTCCTTTGTAAGAGATGCAGAGGGGATCGTGGTCCTTGGTGTAAGCAGGGGTGGGAGGGCAGAAGCCAAGGAAGGTGTTCTGGGAGCTTTGTAGGGGCTGGAAAGATCTTGGTGGTCATAAGATAAAGGAGATAAAGGAAACCACATAGGGATCATTTCTTTCATCTGGCCCAGCTGATTTCCTGGGGTCCTTTAGCTCTGCCGTAGCATCTTAGTTACGTGCTACCCAGGGCTGCCGACTGGAATCCTAGGCCCACTGCGATCTGGTCTCCCCTTGAATCATCCTCTGAAGAGCCTGCCCCACTGGGATCTTTTTTAACTCTGAGTTCCCTCTCCACTGACTTTCATAGATTTTCACAAGTGTTATTGTTTGGTTTCATGCAGGTATAGCCTTCCTTTTCTCTACTTCAATGTCATCTCCTCTGGAACAAGGGCTGGTGATCTTGGTTTTTCTCTATTCCCTTTAGGGAATTCTCTCCTAACACTGCTCACCTCATCCTACCCCCATCTCGAGGTTTGAGGGACAAAGGTCACTCTTCGTCACCAAAGCTTTAGAAACTCCACCGTTAAGTAATATTAACCTCACCTGAGTAATGATCTTTGGACCCCTTTCATTGAATATATGAGCATCAAAGAGAAATTTGATTAGAAGGAAAATAACACAGAAAGGAGAGGAGAAAGGAAAGAAAAAACAGAAGAGGAGAGATCATTGGGGAAGTTGGAGAAAAAGACAAGAGTTTGGAGAGAAGAGCTAAGGCAAAGGAAAGGAAAAATATGAATGGGGGTGTGGGGTATGCTTTAGGTAGGCCAAGAGCAAAAAGGGTTCCAATCCCAAGGGACTCTAAGCTTATCTACACACACACTCTCTATCAGAATTGTTCAGCTGTGTGGTAGTTGATGGCTTTGTGTTCCTTTTAAATTTTTCCTTTCTTGAAGCCATTGGGCATTTTATACCAAGAGCATCTATCTCTCTCTCTCTCTCTCTCTCTCTCTCTCTCTCTCTCTCTCTCTTCCTCTCCCCCCTCACATCTCTGTCTCTCAGCACCTTATTAAAGTTATAACAATGTCTCTGTCCTTTATCCAGTTTGAAGAAGAATTTCTTGAAACAAGAGAGCAATATGAGAAGTTGCAGAAGGGTAAGCCTAGATTTGTTCAATCTCATCTTATTGGAAAAAAATAGAAATGTGTTTCTGGAAGTACTCATTTCATTATAAAACACAGAACTCTAGAATGTCAACTATCAGAAAAGGCGCACAGTATGACTGCTAACATGGATTGTCTGTTCACTGTGTCCCTGGCACCAAGCTGAATTTGTCATCTGCATAGTCTCTTTAACCTTCATAAAAGCTTATCAAGTAGGTTACGACCCCAGACCTCAATTGGATAAGATGCATGAACATGGGTGACCAGTGCCAATTGGTTCAAAACTCCCCACCTCACTGAAGAATCCTTTAAGAATTCTTAAATAATGATCCAGTGGGCTGAAGGGGAAGGAGAAAAAAGGAAGGGAAATGTGACCTAAGATATTCTCTAGTTCTCATTGTTCATATCCACTTCTTCTTGGTGGTTTTAACAGATTAACGGAAATCATTCTATTAGGTCACAATTTTAGAATCAAGACCATAGAAAAGATCCAAATTTGTTTAAATGTGGATCCAAGAAGACATCTTTAATCCATACGATTCCCCAGAAAAATTTCTCAGAGGAAAAAAAAGAGTACTTTCAAATTTCTAATAGCTATAACATTATTTTTCTTATCTAAGGAAACCTGAGTGTCCCACTGTTGCTGATAAACAATCATTGACAAATTACTATTATTATTTTATTGATTTTTTTTTTTATTTGAGAAAGAGGAAGGGAGAGGGGGAGAGAGAGAAACATTGATGTGAGAGTGAAGCATTGATCTGAACGCTCCCTAAAGGGGATTGAGCCCGCAACTCCAGCATGTGCCCTGACTGGGAATTAAACAGCAACCCTTCGGTGCACAGGAAGATGCCCAACCAATTGAGCCATACAGGCCAGGATGAATGTTTTCCTTAAAAAACCTTTAACTTCTCTACATCCTGACTTTTAAAAAACTTTTTTTTCTATTAACGTATAGTTGACACAAGTCTCCTCTTTACCATAACATAAAAATGATCTCTATGGTCATAGATTGCAGTGGGCCAGATCTTATTGAGTGGGGAAGGCCCGATCACCCCTTTCCCAATTCTTGTCCAGGAATCCCCCTGAAGCTCCTCTTCGTCTTTATTTCTGCCCCACTTTCCCGCAAACAAGGACAGTTACTGGTGCATAGTAGGGATTAAATACATGCATATTGAATAAACAAATGAAAGTATCTCCATAATCTTGCCCATGATCATTCTGGCAGGAGTGCTCCCTAAGAGCCTCTAAAATACTCCAGCTCTCTTTGAGTCTGTGATGCTGCTTTATGTTTGGGACACCCTCCTGGCCATGCCTGCTGTTTGTGAACAAAAGGCAGAGAGGGACAGCAGAAAGGTCACTGGGCCACTGGGCTGGGAGTCAGAGGCCCACTTCTGCTGGCTTAGCTGTCCCCTGACTCTGTCAGTTTGGGCAAATCCTTTGTGCCTCCGTTGGCCTCCACCCTGCCATTGTCTAAAATATGAATGCTTTGAACTAAATGATCTCAAACATCCTTTTCTGCGCTCTTGATCTTAGATTTTTTTAATCATCCAGAAGACGATCATCAGCTCCTGATTCTAATGGATATTTGCATCATAAGCAGTAGAGCCCAGCTTTAGATACTCCTCCAATATTGAACAAATGTAGAACTTTTAGGAAATTGACGTCTCAATAGCAGTATTCATATTTACAAAGCATGTTTACTAGTATGATCTTATTCCTACGCAAAGAAACTCAGTAAGACAGGACAGATAGCGTTACAGATCAGAGAATAAGCTCAGAGAAGCTAGAGACTTGACTAACTTCGTCATCTAGAGAGGGACACTGGCTCCCTGAAAGCTGTTCCTGGTTTCTGCACTGGTGTTCTCCCCACCACTCGCTACTGCCTCTCACTAAGTACAGTAGGAAAGGTAGTGAAATTGGGGAAATTAATTGTGGCCTTTCCCAATGCACTAGTGAAGTCTGGCTTTTATTCTGGGTCAAGTTCCTTAATCTCAGCAATGTAGACGTGTAAATGAAATATAAAGGCTATTCAATTCTTCCAGACCCCATGAAAAGAGCACTATTTGTAGTATTTATTTTTTTAATGTATTTATTTATTTATTTTTGGTTAATCCTTACCCGAAGATAATTTTCCACTGATTTTTAGAGAGGGTGGAAAGGAAGGGGAGAGACAGAGAGAGAGAAACATCGATGTGAGAGAGACACATCGATTGTTTGCCTCCCACATGCACTCGGACCAGGGCCGGGATGAAGCCTGCAACCGCAGTACATGCCCTTGACCAGAATTGAACCTAGGACCCTTCAGTCCGAGGGCTGACGCTTTATCCACTGAGCCAAACAGGCTAGGACTGTCGTATCTTTTTAAAACACATTATTATATAGGCAGTCATTCACAAAGAAGAAAATTTGATTTTACTAAACATCTACTATTGACAGTATTTAGTATTTTACTAATGTTACCTCATTTCATCTTTTCAAAAATCCTGCTAGATAGGTATTATTACTATTTTAGAGAAAAGGGAGCTGAAGCTCTAAGTAAGTCATGGCTGAAAAGGGCTGAAGCTGGCATTCGGACCCGGGTATGCCAGGGTTCTTAGTATCACATCATCTGATGTTGTATGGACCTAGAGTGCTACCTGATGTACTTTTTAAAGAATTCAGACTCCCAGACTCCACCCCTGAATGAGGACATCTGGGAGGTGGGTGAATATTTTTAACAACCCACCTCCTCCAGGCGATTCTTGTACATTCTAAACTTTGAGAATCAGTCATAGTAAATGTAGAAAGTCCTAAATAGCCCGGCTGGCATGGTTCAGTAGTTGAGCATCAACCTATGAGGTCACAGTTCAATTCCCAGTCAGGGCACATGCCTGGGTTGTGGGCTCAATCCCCGTTGTACAGTGTGCAAGAGGTAGCTGATGAATGATTCTCTCTCATCATTGATATTTCTATCTCTCTCTCCTCCCTTCCTTTCTGAAACCAATAAAAATATCTTAAAAAAAATAAAATCCTAAATAATCACAACTAACCAACACACAAAGATGCATGAACCATCAAGCAAATCTCAAATTTTCTGTTAAGCAAATGGTAGTCATTTCCTCAACAACTGGAGTCTTTAACTCACCACTTTAGATAAAAACTAAAAATCATTTAACAAAATTAAAAGTGGACACTTTTGCAGGCTTACAACAGCCATGGAAGGAGAGTATCTTAATCTTTCTTTGCTCAAACCACAGATGGGCGCCTGCTTTTTGGCCAAGTGCCTCTGGTTGAAATTGATGGGATGATGCTGACGCAGACCAGAGCCATCCTCAGCTACCTGGCTGCCAAGTACAACTTGTATGGAAAGGACCTGAAGGAGACACTCAGGTACCATAGGATTTATGCCTGTACTTGATTCTTATCCAGGCCTCTATAGGCACCCACTGAGACCTGGGTCAGCTGTAGCCTTTCAGCCTGGACTGAGGGGGAAGGCAAGGCAACAAGGGGAGATGTACTCTTGTTACACCCAACACGACTTATGCTTAACTCTGAATAAATACTCTAGGCTTCTCCTTTTACTGCTCATAGCAATCTGCATTCAACATTCTCATATTCTCTCTCCACTCCTAACAAAATATCTTCTCATAAAATGACCTGGCAAACTATTCTACATGAAGGTGGAAATGAATGAACTAATAAATAAATATTGAGTGATGAGCTATTACTGCAAATAATGCAGTGCAACGCATCCTGAAGCCCACTGATGTAAATCAGCAGGTGTTTATTATTACTCACCAGTCTATGGGTCATCTGAGTGGTGGGCGTATCTGGGCCAGGCTTGACTTATCTTGACTGAACTCACTCATATGTCAACCAGTAGTCAGCCAGGAGGCTCTGGTTGTGGGTGTTGGCTGAATATTGATTGGGAGGCAAATGGGCCATACACCTTCCATCTTCTCATTTTTTTTTAAAGATGTGTTTATTGATTTTTAGAGAGAAAGGAAGGGAGAGGGATAGAGAGATAGAAACATTAATGATAGAGAAACATCAGAGATTGGCTGCCTTCTGCATGCCCCACACTGGGGATTGAGCCCACAACCCTGACATGTGCCCTGACCGGAATCAAACTGGTGTCCTCTTGGTTCCTGGGTCAATGCTCAACCACTGAGCCACACCAGCTGGGCCCCATCCTCTCATCTTGAACTTGTCTCATGGAGGCTAGGCAGGGTTCTGAGATAGTGAAAGTACACAAGGCCTCTTAAGTACTAGGCTAAAAACTAGTTACTTATTAATTCCTTCTCATTCTATTGGTCAAAACAAGTTACAAAGGCAACCCAGGAAACAGACCCCATCTATTGATGGAAGAAAGTGCAGGTTTTATCACAAATACTGGAGGGTGAACATTTATGGCTATTTGGATGATTGGTTTAATTTCACAGGAGATAAGGAGATTTAAGACAAAACAAATATAACTATAAAAGTTTATCTGGATTTGGGGTCAAAGGGCATTTTCAGTGTTCTCTTATATCTTATCACCATAAGCATGGATATAATGAGATGGTCAGTAAATACAGAAGACTTGGTAGAAGTAAGGCCCACGCTCAATTGTTCAGAAAAAGGAGAGATCCTAACATAGAAATGAGCAGTCCATAAACAGAGGCAGCTTATCCCAACTTTCCCATAGCTCTATCTTTAAAATTGATTTAGTCCTTCTAACCTGGCAATCCCAAGGGTACATGCCCAGAGAAGCAATTTCAAGCACAGCGTATGAATAGAATCCTTTTATAACAACGTAAACAAATACTAATGTGCAAAAACTGTCTGCTTCTCATTGTCTCAATGCATGTTTTTCATTGTTGTTTTTTAAATACCATTAAGTTTGTTGGATGCTTAGCACATAGTGGGTGTACAAAGACACACAACCCTTAATGAGTTTGCAAACTGGTTGCAGAGATAACTAGCATAGCATGAAAATAATAGTAATGTATCTACTATGATTAGACTTTTAATAAACTTTTTAAAAAAGTGTTTGCCAAAAAAACCACTTTTTTCAAAGGAAAAATTTTAAGAGAATAACATGAGTTGTTTGTCCGACCTGACTAGGAAAGTAAACTTCTTTCTCAGATGCCAGGTCAACAGAAGACCTGATAAATGATATATCTTCCAAGAGAAAAGGTCCTGGTACTAAATTGTTTTGTTTTTTCGGTAAACTTCATTCTTTTCGGTCTTTAAATCCATAATAACCTAATTGCTTGTTTATGGAAGGTTTCAACTTAGAATCACTCATTAATTCTTTCTCGTGTCCCTTTATTCACTAAACATTTCCAGAGACCCTACTATACCGAGATCACTAGGCTGGTTCTGGCTTCAGAAATCATTCCTGAGCATAGACACGAAGGGAGGGAGAATCAAGTCATTCGCCCCAATTCCTATTAAACCACAGAAGTTGCAGGTTGGGAACCCCGTACTGGAGGCTTCCTCTGGGAATGAATCACACTGTGTTTTGTCAGGATCAACATGTACGCCGATGGCACTCAGGACCTCATGGTGATGATCATGACGGCTGCGTTCAAACCCCCAGAGGAAAAAGAGGAGAACATCGCTTTAATTGTGACAAAAGCGAAAACCCGTTACTTCCCGGTCTTTGAAAAGGTAGGCTGCAGGATCCAACCCTGCGGTGTGGCCGGCGCCCAGATGCTCCAGCGACAGCTGCGTACTCAGATCCTGTGGGGCGGGGCAGCGGGAGAGTGGGGTAGACAAGGGAGGAGCTGACCTCTCGGGACCACCCTCCAATCCTTCTCTTGTCCCGGAGCGGAAATGGAGAAGGGAAGGACGAAGCTGGGAGGGAAGGCGGGAGCGGGGCGGGGCAAGGCAAGTTCCCACCTCCCCTTCCCAGGCTGCAGGGATCCAGGCCTTGCACATTTCCGATTGCTGATAAGACTAAAAGAGTGAGTATCCGAAAAGACAGAAACCATGTTAGAGCTTTCCTGCATCTGGACTAAAACTTTAGTAAGGATTCCAAAACAAATGGCATGTCTAATTATGGAACCCGCAACACAACAGACTTAGAATAGACCAAATACAATGAAAGGATACAGTATTTCTGTTCTGATTTAAACAAACAAATAAATAAACAAACAAACAAACAAAACAATCATCATCATCATCAAGGCATCATCATCTCAATTCATTGTGTCAGATATTTCTTTAGGCTTTAATACTGTTGGCTAATCATGCCTCACTCAAAAGACAAAGCCTCTTAAAGTTACAACTTTTCTGACATCATTTTGGGGCAAATGCTAATTACAGATGTCTTCTCAGTGTATCTGTTAAAGTTCCAGGAGGGCCGCATGCCACATGATAAAGACTTGTTAGTATAGGGTTCCATATATAAAGGTTTGCAGGACAACATAATTCTGTGGTATAATTCAGAATAATTCAGCCTTCGCCTTGAAAAAGAATGATTTATTGTTGACCAAACTATAATGAGTTTTGCCAGAAGCTCAGAGTATTAGACAAGCAGGTTCCTGTTTATTTGGGGACAATGTGCAGTGATGTTGAAATACCTTTCATTGAAAAAGGGAAAAACTAGTATGATTATTTAAGTTATGGTGTTGTGAACTGGGCTTTATCATATCATGGATTTTGAAATATGTGTGGCCTAATCCCAGCACATCCCAAAATGTTTTAAATAATTCATTTGTTCAAATCAGGATCAAACTCAATTTCGTTTACTGTAATTAGTCAATTACATAATATTTTAAAATAGCTCCCTTTAATTTCAGGTTCTTTCCTCTTGCTTTCTCTCCTCTTTCCTCTTGCATTTGTCTTGCCAGGTTTCTCACAGCCTGGAGTTTACTATTGCAACATAACTCTTTCATTCCCTAGATTTTCTGTCAATTGGGAGTTAGAATTAGAAGCTTGACAGGTTCAAGTTTGATGTGTTTTGGCCAGACCGCTTCATCGGTGGTGTTGTGTAGTTCATTAGGAAGCACATTTTATCTTGTTGTCACTGTTCTTATGACTCAATGTAATTTATGATCGGTGCCTAGACCCACTGATTTATCAGTAGATGCAAATGTTGACATCCCAATCCTGCCAGTTCCTCTTCATTTATTAGCTGGAATCCTTTCTATAAAATGACTCTTCGCCTCATAATATATTTGGTTACTCTGGGATATGGTTTTTGTAGGAAAGTAGGATAAATGCTACTTTCTTTATATTCACCACGTTTGGACTTCTTGTATCCCATTTGTGATTTATTTGTATTTGTGGTACAAATCATGATCTTTGTGTCGCCCTCTTCTGGTGGGTGGGGACACTTAACAAGCTCTAGTCTCATAACAGGGAGCTCCATTCTGGCACTTTACCACCCATGATGTTTTGATAATCACTGACAAATTTCCCAAAAGATGGTGCTAATTTACAGCAATGTGTAAGAGTATCGGTTTCATCCTGTCCTTGCCAGCATTCTTGAGGATTATCAAGACCAAGATTCTTTAGCAAATTTGATCTGTACATGTTTTGTAAGTGGTTAGCCAGGCAAAATAGTCTCTACTTTTATTTGATATTCTTTGTTATTTTTCTTTCTGCAGATTTTGAAAGACCATGGAGAGGATTTCCTTGTTGGCAACAAATTCAGCTGGGCGGATGTACAACTCTTAGAAGCTATTTTAATGGTGGAAGAACTCAATGCTTCTGTTCTCTCAGACTTCCCTCTGCTAAAGGTAGTGTGTTAACATCTACACAAAACCCAGGGGGAAAATGAATAAAAACAAAGAATGAAACAAAGCATGGCTCCAGGTCAATCTCAGAAGGAACTCAAGAAGACTGTTTAAAAAAATCATTATTTTATCATTTTGTAATTTTCTCCTGCTCACACTATAGGATCATTCTATATATATAAAAAGCCAGCAACCCGAATGCCGAATGCCGAATGACTAGAACGACCGGTCACTATGACGCCCACTACAGCCAGTCCTGCTCCCAATTGGCCCCTCAACCCCGATTGGCCCATAGCCCCTCCCCCTGCCAGCCCCACCCCCGCCCCCGATCAGCAACCCCCCACCCTGATTGTGGGCAGGGCTGGCCGGCCAACTGCCCACAGCCCCTCCCCACAGCTGGCCTGGCCCCTGATTGGCCCCCCTAGCCCAATCGGGGGAGGGGCTGGCTGGACCCCACCTGTGCATGAATTCATGCACCAGGCCTCTAATTAGGAAATAAAATCTTACAAAGGGAAAAAGAATAGATTATTTTGGTTTCGGGCATAAACATTTAGTGTGTTTTTCATTTTTGTAGTGCTTTCCATTTTTTGTTTATTTGTTTAGCACTGAGTTTTTCCTGATGAAGCAAGGATGACAAGTCTGTCTTTGTTGTTTCCCTTCCCTCTCCTACCAAACAACTCTGCTTCCTGATAGTCCCAATGACTCCAAGGCCTCCACAAAGTCCCTCAATGAGACATTGATGAGAGAGAAACATCAATCAGCTACCTCCTACACACCCCCTTCTGGGGATTGAGCCCGCAACCTGGGCATGTGCCCTGACTGGGAATGGACTGGTGATTTCTTGGTTCATAGGTTGACACTCAACCACTGAGCCACCCTGGCTGGACTGTGTTAACATTCTTATAGTTATTTCTTTGCTAGCACCTTTACTTATTCCCTTATAAATTACTAGAACAAGAGTTGACAGGTTAAAGAATTTTTTTGAGTTTTTAACACACACTGCCTAATTATGACAGTGATTTTTTTAAATTAAGATAATGTAACTCAGGCTATGCACACCAGCCATTGTATTATCCTTCTCAGGAATATCAGCAAACATGCATTGAGGGATTAACTCAGATTCAACACACTGGGCTCCATACGCCGGCTGGTCTAAGTAACCTCCACTCATGACAAAGTTTTGACTTTTTCTTAAAGGTTGTGACCGCTATGGAGGCCCTGATTTTGCTGTTTCTCATTCCAGGCATTTAAAGCAAGAATCAGCAACATCCCTACAATTAAGAAGTTCCTGCAGCCTGGGAGTCAGAGGAAGCCACCTCCGGATAGCCGCTACGTTGACGTGGTCAGGCACGTTCTGCAGTTCTAATGGCGGCAGGCCTCGCTATGTTGCATGGCCGCCATCAGCCACAGCCTCGCACGTGCTGGAGCTCACTGTAGATTCTAGGTGTAAAATGTCTGGAAAGAGCAAAGCAGTACTGCCATCAACAGCCAATGCCAATTAAATGAAACATGAGACCATTTGGTTATATGAGCATTTTTAAACTTGTTCATTGTGGATGATGCTTAGAACTTTTTTGAGATCAACGTATATATGAGTAGGAGGCTGATATATTTAGGGTGGTGGCCTACATGGGGCCCTGTCCTTGTCTGTATCCAGGTCAGAACCACTGGGGAAAGGGTGAGCAGAGCTTTGAGCGTGGGGTGGGGGGGGCGGCGGGGGAGGGCAGGGGAAAGGGGACCGTATTTTTCGAATACCCATCCGATGCTGAGTACTCGGGATAGAAAAAAAGTGGCAAGTGACAAATTGTCAGGAAGAGCTTGGATGATGCAGTAAATCCTAAGGGGATGTGTGGGGGACAGAGAATGTCCTGGGAACACCGTTTTGAGACCCTGATAAAAACAAACAAACAAACTTGGACAATTAGACAACCCTATTCCACCTAACATAGCTGCCAAGACTGGGTTTGTTTTGGTGAAATAATGCCAAGTAACACTGAGATTAAGATATAACCAATGAATATGTACATTGGCCCAAAGATTCCCTTGGCTTGACATACTTTCTTTAAGGATAACTATTGTGTTCCGAAGTTTGTAAGCTCAGATGCACATGGGGGCTCTGGTGGGGGGTGTAAGGCTGATTGGCGATGGGGTGACTATTCAGGGTGATGTTACAGGCACAGCTGTGGTTTCCGGTGGGTAGAGCAGGTAGGGAGTAGGGCTCCTGCCAAGGGCTTGGGGTGCACAATCCCACCAGTTCTACACTGGACGTTCTGCCCAGACTTGATCAGTTTCTGAATGTGTATCCACATACACATCCTTACTTATGAAATGACTTAATGTCTCACCAGCCTTCAGGCCATTTCCTTAGGGCCGCCACAGCACATGGCCTCCTACACCGCTCACTGCGACATTCAGTCCTCCACCCCTTTTCAGACAATGGGCTGCTCAACAGAGCTATGACAAGCTGGGCCCTTCAGCATCCCAACCCCAGCCCACGGGTGACCTGAGCTCCTGCTCCCAGCGTGGCCAGATCCCAGCCTGGGATTCCATTTAGCTAAGGACCCCATCTCATTCCCGCCCGGACAAAGCTATGGCCAACTCACACCTGATGAATAAGACAGAAGGGGTTGGCAAGGCTCCTCATCAGTGTAGGGATGACTTTTTCCTCTGACTTCCCCCAGAGCAGAGAGTCTGAGCTTAGAGAAATTAAGTGGAAAAAGAAATTATTATTATATTTTATTTATTTTTTAAAATATATTTTAAAAATTGATTTTAGAGAGGAAGGGAGAGGGAGCAAAAGATAGAAACATCAATGATGAGAATCATTGATCAGCTGCCTCTTGCATGCCCCCTACTGGGGATCAAGCTCACAACTCAGGCATGTGCCCTACATGGAATTGAAATATGACTTCCTGGTTCATAGTATGATGCTCAACCACGGAGCCACACTAGCCTGGCTACATTATTTTTAATGACTCAAAATTTTAAGGCAATTTCTTTTTATTATAATCATGTGGTCTTGGTAAATAATTCAAACACTTTAGAAGGCTTATATAGTGAACAATAAAATCATCCCCCTGACTCCCCAGATGGTTGCTAAAAACAACCACTTCCTAGGTTCTCACTCCTTGCCTGGGGGCCTACACAAGCCCTAGGCCTGGCCCCAAGCTGGCATGCTTTCCCAAGCACACCCAAGGCACGTGACTCAGGCACAGCTGGCCACGTTCATTGTCCCATAATCCCATAAGTACGACTTGGTGTCTTATAAGTCTTTACCCGTTTGTTGTTCCCTATGGGGTTCTCTTTGGGCTGACTGTAACTATGGGTACCCAGGAAGTGGGCTCAGAGACCCAATAGCACCCAGCAACATTCAAGGTCCCACTTCTACTCCCTCGACACCAGGGAGCCTTGAATGTGGACAGAAAAAGAAGGGTGAGTGAAGTCAGTGAGCTGAACATATCCACAGAGATGGAGGGTGGGGCCCTGGAGGCCCCGGGTCCTCTCTGCCATGAGACCCTGGGAGGCAGAGCCTGACCAGCCTGCCCTCCCACGTCGGGAGTTGAGCACTCCAGCAAGTGAGCATTCCTTTTCTTGGTGACTGACTCTCCCGTTTCAGTTAAAGTGTGTGTGTGTGTGTGTGTGTGTGTGTGTGTGTGTGTGTGTACAAAGAATTAAAACCTGGGCAGTGGCCTCATAATGACCCCTCCTAACTTGATGGGGGTCATGAATCCTCCCTTTAGACTCCAAACGCGTGATTGCATGAGTTTCTGGGCACAGGCTAAAGGGAGAAAGGTGAAGACAGGGTCAGAGATGTTTGTTCCCACTGATCACCAGCCCTGAGTGAAGTTAGGAGCGAGGGATTTGGTTTTGGCCTTTGAATTGGGGGTGGGGGTGGTGATTGGTGATAGTAGTTGTTGCTTTTAAGCTAGGAGGGGTTTATTAGCACATATGTTTGAAAGAATGAGGGTGAGTTCAGGGACTCTCAGACCCTCAGGGTTGCTGTGTCTCCTCCTGTGTCGGCTCAGGTTCTCTCACAGCGGTGACTGGCTTGCCCTGCTGGTGGCTCTGGGGCTGGCCCCGAGGGGTTGCTGAAGCCACAGAGGAACCATGTGGAGGAGGCGGGAGTGGTTCCTCAAAGCAGTGGGGCCGGTATTCACTGTGCAGTTTACCGATAGGGAGAGTGAGGCTCAGCCAGCCCCTGACCCCTGCGTCTGTCGTGCTGCCAACAGGAGTTGCAGGGATGCCACAATCCCTGGGTGTAGGGATGGGGGGAACTAGGCCCAATCTAGATGTTGGGACCCACAGTCTTTTAAATATATTTGGCAGGAGCCTGATGTTCTGTCTGGCAGATTAAAGATATCTAATCCTATTTGTTTAAGACAGCGGTTCTCAACCTGTGGGTCTCCAACCTGTGGGTCGCGACCCTTTTGGGGGTCGAACCACCCTTTCACAGGGGTCGCCTAAGACCATGGGAAAACACATATATAATTACATATTGTTTTTGTGATTAATCACTATGCTTTAATTATGTTCAATTTGTAACAATGAAAATACATCCTGCATATCAGATATTGACATTAGGATTCATAACAGTAGCAAAATTACAGTTATGAAGTAGCAACGAAAATAATTTTATGGTTGGGGGTCACCACAACATGAGGAACTGTATTAAAGGGTCGTGGCATTAGGAAGGTTGAGAGCCACTTGGCTGATTTGGACATGGTTGTTCCCCTTCATAGCCCTCAGCAGCCATTATATTGCTAAGTTAGTATATTTTATTTTTCCCCAAACTCATTTCCATCCAGTATCTATTGGAGCCTCCCCCAAACCTTGCATGATTTTAATAATTTTTAAGCCTGGCCCTGCTATTCATCTCTATAGCAGAGGAGGGTCAAGGGGTGGGATGAACCTGCATTGTTATTGGCTGGTACATAACAAGGAGAAGCTGGTACAGTGGAGATTGGAGGGATGAGAACTCTCAAGTTCTACTTTCAGTGGATTACCTATTCGCAGGGTTATAATGTATCCCAAGAAGTAGCTGCTATTGCCCATAATTGTAAATGCCCTGACTTGACCCTTTAATAATCTAGTTAATTCGATTGTTTTTCCTTTTAGGACTTTGTGGTCAAATTTAAAACGATAGTTGAGTTGCATTTGTTATTCCCAGAACGCAACATAGAGAATAGCTTTATGCTGTGGCATCACCCTCTCATGGGGTTAGTGATAAAAAGTCTTGTCAAGTGTCAAACCAGAAGACTGGAAGAGATGCTGGAGTTAATTGAATCCCATGACATGCCCAGAGGCACATCTCCCCAGGGGGAGAAATCGGCCTGGTCCCTCTCACTATGGCCCCAGACCAGCCTCATGCACGGCACCTGGGAGTGTGTTGGAAATGCAAGGCCACGGGCCCTGCCCCAGAACTACTGAGTCAGAATCTGCGTTTTCACAATATCCCCTGTGACCTGTGCGCCTGTTGAAGTTTTCAGCATGGCTTTGTATTATTATTCAGCTTTCCAAACAAACTCAGTCGTGGCTCTCCCCGTAGAAAGCCATCCTCCCCACGTGTGAAAATGTTCTAGTTCCTTCCATCTCCTACTTGCTGTCTGTACAATGGACACTATCAAACATTTACTTTAAGGGCAACTTCAAGGCCCTACCTCCAGCTCAAACCAGAGACAAAAGGCACTCAAGAATAGGGTTGCTAGATTTAGCAAAACAACAACAGCAAAAAAACAACAAAAAAACCCACAAAAAACACACCCATCGTTAAATTTGCATTTCAGATAAGCAATGAATAGTTTTCAGTACAAGTAGGTCCCAAATGTTGCATGTATCCTGAATTTTATCTGGCATGCTACTCAGGAGCCAAAGTCCCGGGCTGCCCTATCCACACCCCCAATCTCTTCCTGCTTTATGTCTAAGACCCTTACTTATTTGCTTCCAGTGTGGTGGCTTGGGCTCATGCTTCCTTCAAGCCCCATATCACGCTCTGCTTTCTCTCTTGTGCTGTGAGTGAGAGGCAGGTGGTGAAAACAGCAGAGACTTTGGCCTGGGGTCTGGCCGGCGGGATGAGTGGGCAAGTTTTGTCTTTCTGAGTTTCTGTCTCCTTATCTGTAAAACAAGGGAACTGCTGTTCTCAAAGCCATATAGATAGTGCCTGGCACAGAGCACATCTGGCTGCCCTTGTTATCTCTTGGTGACTGGATCTTCAGGCAGCCCTGGCAGGCCTGGCCTGGTTGTCCTTGGGTTCATATCCTTGCCCAGTATCAACTCCAGAGATCTGGAGCCGAACAGCACGAATGACACGAGCCAGTACGGTCCTGCCATAGCATCTGTTACTGTTTGACCATGAACTCACCTCCAATT